ATCACGGCTACGGCTTCTTCTATGCGATCAGAGACGACAGGTGAGGATAAAATTTCATCTGGGGCATGGTTTTCTGCCTCTGTCACAAAGGGAAAGGTGGCTAACGAGTAGAATGAGGAAAGGCAAAGACAGAAGAAATATGGCAGAATGTGTCAGAAACGGTTGAGTAGTGAGATCCATGAGAACACAGACGTTGACATTCTGTGAAGAAGTGTGGGAGGAAGGACAAGCAGGAGGTGAAGTGAGCACCAAGCTACACTAAGCAGAAGGAAAGGAGTGGGAGGGGTGAAAGAAGGGAGGAACAAAAGAAGTTAACTTAAAGCTTTTGTTTTAGAGATCATTAAATGTAACACGCAAAGGTGTTTTAAAAAGTAGCAACTGACTGAGGTAGACTAGATAGGGTACAAGTAAGCTCACTGTCCACCATTCTTAGCAGCGATATGCCCATCTCGTGGCTTAAACCAGACATCTTTGAGCAACAAGGAGAGGCTAAAAGATCCAACTTTTGCTTATTGCTCTTATGGACAAAAATTATTGCTTCTTAATCAAATTTGGTAAACTACTTTGATTATAATGCCTTAAGGTAACTTGCTGTTTTGTGATTTAGATGTAATTTGCATGACTTCTTCCTAAAGCTAAATATGTATTATGTGCAGATTTGATTTGATAGAGTTTGAGAATACAAACCATTCATATTTTGACCTGTGGTTCTGTTAAGATAAACAGAACTAGATAAAGATTTACCTTTTATTAGGCAAATAGAAAAAAAGTACTTTAAACCTTAAATTAGTTGCAACAAAGGAATACAATTCACAGTATTTGCAAATATAAGCAGAAAAGTTACATCACTCTGCGTAGAAGTGGGTATTTAAATCAAATTATCTAGTTCAAAGAGCTGTCAACATTACTGCTTTCTGAAGGCTCTAGAAATCTGAGGTCTTTAATGTTGAGACAGTATGTTTGTGACAACTTTTGCTTCAGAATTTATGCCAACTTCACATTTCAGGGGCAATTTATGTGACTTTTTTCCTAGACCATGACAATTAAGATTGGTAACTTCATTGTTTTCTGCATTGCTAGGATTGTTGCTAACTGTTCTTCTTGGAAATCGTGTCCAGAGACTGATGCAGAAGTGCTGTGTAGAACTGTGTTCCAGTGTTTTGAGGACATGCTACAGTTAACAGTTGCAGCTCAGCTGTAAGGTTGATAATGACATAAAAGCCTTTGCAGGCTCACAATTTATGTGTAGTACTTGTAAATGCTACTCAAGAGTAGTGTTATATTCAAGTTAAGAAGTTTAGTCATCTGTGTGAAGGCTACCTATTTTTATGGGCTTTACTGTGGTAACAGTTCCCATTTAAGAGTGACGTAGCCATCTGCAACAACAATGCAAGCAGTAGTACCTTACCTGCGTAGAACTATGCAATATTAAAATATGCCTCAACAATGCAAATGTTGGAATTGGGGAGTTTGTGGGAGATTTGTTTTTATGATCTTAGCAGTAACATGTAGAATACTTTGTAGTTTACTGATACTGTTTTTGCCTGTGGAGCACTTACATGTGTACTTCAGAGTAACCACACTATCCTCGGTGATTCTGCTTCCTTTTCGTAGTGGCTTATGAAACAGAAGGGCTGCCTCCATCAGGCTGTATGTTATTCTATAAGTTATCTTTCACTTTTGCTATCAGGGTTATTAAAAATAAATGTTGTATCCATGAAAAGGGATGTTCCCACTACACTCGTAGTATGAGAGGACTAAAATCTGAAGTATTTTGAAAAAGGAGCTCTCAATAATAAAGACAGAAAGCAGCACTTGAGTTCCAAATTCCTCAGGACTTTATTCTAGTGAACTGTGAATGTGTGCTGCTTTACACTAATTATACACACTAAAAGTAAGCACTGAATGCAGTTTGATAGGATTCTTGGGATTTTAGGAATTCACTTGTCTGTTTGAGCAGCTTTGTATTTTCTCATCATAGAAATAAAATTCTTCTAAAAATCAGCTTTGTATTGATTGGTTTATGGGTGGACTGTTTAATGAGTAGCAACTAAACTTTATGAAAGATAATCTTGGGGACATGAACTTGGAATGGAGATTGTCAAATACCCGTTCTTTTCTCTTCTCTCTAGTTTTTGGAATTTTGAGAGAGATCAGAGGTTATGTTTTAGAGAAACAACTGCATCTTCAGCTATCACTGAACCAGTCTTTTTGCACTCTGCAAGCTCTTTTAAGTGTGGGTTTGTGTTTGTTTTGGTTTTGTTTTGGTTTGGTTTGGTTTTTTTGTTGTTGTTGTTTTGTTTGTTTGTTTGTTTGGGGTTTTTTTTTGTTTTTTTGGGGTTTTTTTTTTTTGTTTTTTTTTCCCCACTGTGGCAGGAACAGTGTTTCCCTTTTTATTTCCTTCCTTGAAGCCTGACACTTCTGAGTAACAGACCAGGGTGTGTTATACTGTGTCTTGTTGCCTCAGAAAAGTCTCATTATTTCAGCCTTTGTCTTCCCTGCCTTTATTGTACTACTTGTACATTCTGTCTCAATTAAATCTGATAATCACTCATTGTTTAATGGTTCATTTGAGGTCTTTCAAAACTCGTGCAGAGTAAGAATGCATTCCTGTTCTGGAGTGCTTACAATAACCCACTCTTTCTCAGTGGTAGATGACTTTCTGAAGTCTCTCAGTTAATGAAGCACATTTTTGGAAGTTCTGTCTGACAGTTACAACCTTTGATCCCTCAGTTGGCTTAGTAAACCTGATTGCGACAGGGACAGTTTGCTTTGAACACTCATCTGAAACAGCCTGAAATCTGATTAAGGGTTTGCTTTTGCATTTATTTTCCACACACCTACCCCTGCCTCTCTGAGGATTTCTGGGACCATAGAAATCCTGTCAGCAATACAGAAAAAAGAAAACTATTTCAGCAATCGTATCATTGAGAAGATCTCATTTAGTCACCAGTGTAAGCAGAATTTCTTGTACAGCTGGGACAGTCTGCACTTTGCCTAGAGGAACTGAAGACCAAAGTGTGTCCAGAGAGAACAAAATTTCTGTGAGTTTTAGAGGTACTTGTTACGGGCTGTGGATGAATGAATTAATGAGTGTGGTGTTGATTTCTTTCTTGTAAGGAGTGAAGCATTTTTGATTTGAGGTTATTCTACTGAGTTTATGCTCTAACAACCATGTGGGACCGAAGCATCAAGTGCTAAAGAGGTTTTTCTTGGTGGTGGTGTTTGTTGTGAGGGGTTTTGGCTTTTCTCTCGATGTGTGGCTTTGGGAAAACGTATAATCAATGCAGAAGGAACATAATGCAGTAGGGGCTCTGATTTCTGGTCAGGGTGGTTGAGCTGTGCAGTCCCATTGTTGTAGGACAGGCACCATTTGCTTTGAAGACGCTGAGATTAAACTGGAGAGCTGCAGACATCGGCTGCACCCATTAGTGCATCAGCAAGCTGAGAATAGGAGCCAGGTTTCTGCATTGCTGGGACTGAGCCAGTGGCCAATCCCAACAAGATTCCTTCTTCCCTTGCCCTGGGTTGCATGTGCATTTGTTTAGAAATAGACATTGCACTGGAATTGCACTTTGAGCCCATCTGTATTGAGGAACACATCACTACTTTCCTCCTGCCTTTGAGTGTCGGCGTCTTTGTGCATAAGCAATAACTACTCTCTGTCTTTCTAGAGACTGCATTTCTGAAAGAGTTTTTGGCCTCTTGCCAATGCATATCTCACTGCCATAACCCTCATCACTCTCCGGAGTACAGAGAGAATGCCAGGTTAGCACATGTAGTCACAATCAACCTGTAAAAACACAACCCCTGAAACGTGAGCAGATGAACAAGCTTTTGTCTTTTCACTAGCACTCTACATTACAGCTTGCTGCTGTCTCTGGGCTGGGCATTCTGCTTTTCCTTACCCCCAGAACATAAGCTTGCCTCTGCCCTCAAGCCCTCTCCCAGTTTTTGTACGCACATCCGTTCACTGTGAACACCCGTGCGAGGTGCTGCACAGCTCATCTTCCCAGTGCCTGGGGGACAGAAGGGGCCATCCTCATACACAGTTCTTCACTTTGCAGTTTGGCAAGTCTTTTTTTTTTTTTTTTTTTTTTTTTTTTTTATGACTGCTGTGTAACCTTTAATTTCAGCAACTATGAATGTGCTGATGGAAGAAGAGGGTTCGGTTCTTAAAGCAAATGCACCTCCATTATATATTAGTTATGGGATTTAAGAAAACTACTACAGATGTTTCAGTGTTTTGGTAAAATTCTGTAAATAGTCTGACATGAAAGACTGAAGCAGCTGTACGGGCCCACACCAGCAACAGGTACTGCCCGCTATCATACTTTGTGTGACCCACTCTGAACATTGACCAGAGAATAGTAGATGCCTTTTTCGGCCAGGAGCTGCTGGTGGGTCCCTTGCTCTACGACCTTGCCGTTCTGGATGACAGCGATCTTGTCGGCGCTCTGGATGGTGGAGAGGCGGTGAGCTATCACGATGCAGGTGCGGCCTTCTCTGGCTTTATCCAGCGCCTCCTGCACTATCTGCACAACGGACAAACCAAAGGGTAAAACGAAAACAAATTTTCACCTGTTTGCAACTCTGGTACCCCTAGCTGGTTGTCTGTGATAGAGCAGTGATGGAGCAAATGAAAAACTGTTGCTCCTGATGACTGGTCTGGATCCCTGTTTGTACGTCTGGCGTGGGGAGCAGGGGACAGACAGGGCTTGCTGGTGGGCGTGCGTTTGCATTTTTGCTTGCCCCAGAAACTAAGCAGACTTCTCCAGGGGCACAGCCTGGCCCTTCCGTACTCCTGCAGGTAGGTCTTAGTTGCTCTGTTTTAGAAATTGTGCCGAACAAATTGGTCTGGCTCCTTTGGACAAGCCATGAATTTTATCCTTCTCAGCAACACAGAAAACTGCTCCAAATTTCAGTCCCACTCATTAAATAATTACAACTTAATCCTCCAAATAGTACCACTATAAAACCATGATATTATCAAATAACACGCTGGATAGTTTTGTATCCTAGTTTCTAAGCACTAAGTATGGTGTAGTTATTACACACTTTTAACCTCTCCCCCTTTTTAATACTCTGAAAGTTATGAATTCTTTAATGTCACATGATATTCTGGGTGCTGTGGCCTTATACATGTCAAATGTTGCATTGAAGTTACTTTAAAAATTGATAACACTGAATTGCTTTTGGGATAGGAAGGGGGTAAGGTTTTTTTTCTTTGTCATTTTTTTTTACAAAAAAAGTAAAAGACCCTTCTGTTGGCGTGGCCAGCCAGCTTGTAAATGCATATTCCCCCTTGCAAAGCCAAAGTACCTTCTCACTTTCTATGTCCAGTGCAGAGGTAGCTTCATCTAGCAGCAGGATCTGGGGCTGCCGTACGAGAGCTCGAGCGATAGCGACACGTTGCTTCTGACCACCGGAGAGCTGAGTTCCCTTGTCTCCCACACGTGTGCTGTATTTCTAGACACAGAAAGTAAGCACAAGTGTAAACCTGGATTTGGACCTAATCCTCTGGAGCATGACCTCTGAGCTGCATTTCCACTGAGGTAGAGTCTAGGGCAGACCCTTCCTCAGTCACTGGGGCAAGTGTGGGTGAGGAGCCTGTGCTACATACAGCAGCTGAGCTGAGGAACACATTTCTGAGCGTATGGAACTGCAGAGCAAACCCCATGATGCTGTGGAAAAGCAGTGTAATTTGTTTTGGGGTTGGGGGCCAAGGTGCAGAGGAGCTTGGCACAGGGTGTGAGAGGAAGGTTGTGATATTGCTTGGATTGAACCCAAGGCTCAGCACCAAGGAGCCTGAGCAGTCAGCTCTTCTTTCACCACCCTGGTTCTCCATAAGAAGAAAACTCATCCAGAGAGACACTGAGTGAAGCCAGTCAAATTGAAAATCTTATCTGCCTCCCACCCTGTTTTAAAGCTGACACAATTTTACTCAAGAAATATAATTCCAGCTCTGTGCTTCCCCCATTTGTAACCAGTATGAACAAAGGTACATCTCTCATCTAAGGGATGAGGCTTTGCAGGGAAAACCCACGAACCTCCTAAGCCTGTGGGAATTTATTGACTGAGAAATATTTGTCTTAGCCCATATTTTCTAGAAGAGCAAGCTCACATGCAGGTGTTAGCTTCAGCGGATCAATTTAGGCAGCAGGTAGGAAGAGCCTTTGCTTGCATTCACCTGCCAGCAGCTGCTCAGCAGGACATGAGCAAATCAACTTCTGGGATTTTTTTTTTTCCTTAGCATAATTATTCATGACCAACGTAGAAAACCTGAAACTGCTTTCCCCTCCAATGTGCTATTTATTTTGCAGAAAAAAATCCACCATATCAGAGTCTCAGTTTGTCGCATCAGATGCAACCAGGAGGTAACAACAGGTATAGATAAGGAAAGGGAGAGAAGGAAGTGGGAACAACGTGGTAGGCTTCTGCCTGTTTTTCCAAGCGAGCTCTGTGCATGACTTTACACACCTGATTAATAAGAGACTGAAAAAAAAGGAGGGTGAAACCAGTGCTCCTTGGGTTGCCTTAGCACTTTACTTTTGCCTTTGCTAAAGGGAGTACCCAGCCTCTCTTTCCAGTACTTTCTGCGTGTCTGTTGCTCCATACTCTTCTCTCTAAAATGATGTGCCTGAGTACCAGTATCATCCAGGTTATTATATTAGCAGAGACTTCTGCAGAGATGAAGACCCCTCCCATTCAGGCAGCTGCTGTCACCTCCCAGCTCTCTGCTTGTCCTTTGGGTCTTCTGGGGGATCCCCCACCCCAAATTTCAATGCCTAATGCAGTAAGTCACTGAAATACAAAAGCTTTTAACCTGTATTTACTTAGGAAAGAAAGAACAGGCACTGTTGTTTTTTTGGTTTTGTGTTTTGTTTTGTTTTTTTTTCCCTTCAGTTGCAAGTTGGAAATGAGGACCTAATTACCTTTGGCAGGGATTCAATGAAGGAATGGATGTTGGCTTCTTTAGCTGCACTGACGATCTCCTCGTGCGAGACCTGCCGGCTGTTATCCCCGTAGGCGATGTTTTCGGCAATGGTGCAGTCAAACAGGATGGGCTCTTGTGAGACGATGCCGATCTGCGCTCTCAGCCAACGGAGGTTTAGTGTCTTTGCATTTTGGCCATCCAGCAGCTAAAAAATCAGAAGCGGTATATTTTAATCAGTACTTTATAGATGGCTGGGTTTTGTTTGTGTTTGTGGGTTTTTTGATTGGTTAGTTTGTTTGTTCTTAATTTGGTGACAGTAAGGCCTTAAGCAGACAGGGTGCTAAGGCTGTGCCATGCCCTGAGTCTGGTAATTTAAGCACTTGTCTGGCAGCAGTGATGAGGAGATGAGTGTTATCTCAAAACCTGGTTATTTCAAAACCAAAGCCTGGTTATGTTTGCACTCAATCCAATAACATCAGTCTTCTCTGTGAACCTTGAAAAATTCCAGCTGTATGAAGCCACTGTATTGCAACCCATTTGTTTGTCACCCTAACTGAAAAAGCCAATATGGGTCTACTTTCTCTGCCTTCTTGCTGTCACTACTAGAGACAGTTGGTACTATGCTGGTGACAGAAAGATCTGTTTCAGAAACTAGCAGGAGGTCTATACCACAAAAAGTTTCCAATGCTACTTCCTCTATTAGCAGCTTTATCCCATCTTTACTATGCTGATCTGGGAGTCAGATCCCCTCACCTCTCAAATGACCATAATGGGGGAGAAAAATTCACCTACCACCACTCGCTCCTGTGAGATGAGATACATGTAAAACTCTGTGTATCAGCACCTAAACTCCTCCTCTTCTCCCACTTTACCTTATCTAGACATCAGCATTCACAATTGTAAGTTTAACTGTCTCTGTCACGCAGAGACTTATTTGGTCTAAAACAAAACATCAGTTCATATTCCTGCTTTATCCTTATGATTTGCATCTAAAGCAGAACTAACGAGCTATGAACTAAATCACCACTCGTGTGCCTGCAGGTGCATTGAGCCATTGGACTCTCGGAGCCCACATGATCTTTTTTGCTCTATTTGTGCAGCACCTGGCATTGCAGAGAGCCCTAACCCAGAGTTTGGATTCCTAAGTACAATAATTAACTAAAAAATAAATAGGCTAAATCTTTACAAGAAAAATTGTATTGGTGTGCACATGAGACTAGAGACCCCTTTGTAAAAAACAGCTTGACTTGTCAGTTGGTTTCTGTATGTGTTGATGAGATGAATCTGTCTCGGATTGTAATAGAAACTGTTAAACGATTAAGCACTAAGTAAATATTTTTTTCCAGTCTCAGAAATGACACTTCACCTTTCAAGGCCACTCTCTACTGACAAGTATGAGGAAACACAATACAATGCAAACTCCAGGGACAAGTAGCTAGAAGGTCCCTCCAGCATCTCCATCTGTCCAGGAGGCTATCTGTGCTTCAGGCTGCAGTTCAGTTTGAGCTACAGATGATGGTTTCTCCTTTCACAGAGAGTCAGGACTATGGTGGGAGGCAGATATCTGGGTTTGGGAAGTGTGATGGTCAGTTTTCTTTGACTTTTGGAGGAACGATCCAAATCCTCTGAACTGACATCCTGACTATGGATGAAATACACATGTAAGTGGAGAAACAGGTAAAATATGAGATCACTTTAGTAAGTACAAAATTGTCCTTTTTTTCATCTTCCCTCTTAGTTTTTACATGATAGGTGATGATGCAATGAAGCTTAGTGGCTACCCTAAGCAGTGCTGCTGCTAAACTTCCAACAATTTGTTAACTGTAATTAAACTCTAGTGATACCACTGGGCTCTGGTCAGGCCAATGTAGGAACTTCTTTCCATCGGATCTTGTTTTAGTAACTTGAAATGTCATGGGAAGTGTTGAAATTTTACTTCTGCTTTTCCCATGATTGCACAGAGCATGTTGAAAATCCATGTGTGCCTGTCCTTAATTTTCAAAAACATTATTTAAAAATTTATATTAGAAACATTGACAAAAGTGAGTAGTTCCACTAGCAAGCGTGTAGTGAGTTTATTTAAGAAGGGGGGAATAAAAAGACAAACTCTATTAATAAAATAGAGTAAACATGTATCACACATCTGGAACTTACACTTTGATGTGGAACACTTACCACTTCTCCACTGAGTGGATCATAAAATCTCTCAAGCAGCTGAACAACAGTGCTCTTTCCACAGCCACTGCTGCCAACAAGAGCCAGGGTCTGTCCTTTTTCTACATTCATGTTCAAACCTTGAAGCACTTTGATCTCTGGTCGAGTTGGGTAGTTAAATGCCACATCCTTGAATGTTATGTTTCCACCAAATATTTTCTGATTGAAACAGTAGAGTTAGATAATTTTTTTAACAGATCATAAAAGACTACAAAGGGCATTCATGAAAGAGATCAGTGGGAGTTTTTCCAAAGGACTGGACTTCTTTTTTTCCTAGAAACTAATACGTAGAGAGAAGCTATTGTGAAAATACAAATTATCTCCTAAATATTCTACTCTGCAGGCATATTTTAATTAAAATTCTGTTCCATAAACATGAATTCTGACAGCTTCTCTTACACCAGCTATTAAATAAGATTACATTTTCAAAAGGAACAATAACTCTAGGTAGCTGACTTCTGTGTGCTTTGCAAGGACCTTTTTCAGATTCTTGACATGTTCTTTGCTAAGTTTCTTTTAACTTTTGTTCTTAAAGATACTGAAAATAATATACTATTTTTGATCTGTGCACAAAATCAATCTTTCTGCTTAAAGACCTTTTCTAATTAATTACCTGTAGACTGTAGCATGATATATGTAATATAGACATATTCTTCAGAAGAAATATAATTCGTATGAATTAGTATATACATTAAATGTAAATATAGACATATGCAAATGACCAGTTGATGTAACAGCTAAAATATCTGATACTTCATAAGGCTTCACAGCTATTTTTCTTTATTGTGTGTCCATATCTATATGCATATATACACATATACACACATATATATATATATATATACACACATAATAAACATAAGTTTTATAATATATATGTGATAGTTTTCTGGAACGTTCCGTCTTCCTTGTTATATCACAGGCCACATGAACACACGTTCACATACACTGCTGGTTACTAAAGTATGTGACAGTCTGTTACAAACAAATTGTAAATAAATTATCCCTCAAAATTTTCTAGTTAAATATTAGAGGTCTAGTTATATGTTCTATGTTCAAGATACATGCTCTGATATTTTCATGCAAGAAGGTCTTAAAAAATGATTGCTACTATGCTAACTTATTTCCATTGGCTCTTAAAGATGTTTCACCAAGAGACAGGTGAGGTTTTGGCAGGAGAAGACACAAAGCAAAGCTTAACCCCAATTTGGGAGTTAACACTCTCTCTCCGCCCCGGTCCCCCCCCCCCATTTGGGGGTTAAAAGTTTAACATCCAACATCCAATTTGGTTGGATGAGTCAGATGTGACTGGGTTCATGCAGTTTTTGTCTGCAGTAGCTGTGGTGTGGGTGGGAGAGAAGAAAAGAAAAGCCGGCTTGAAATAAGTTAGAGTATGCAGTGCTGTGCCTTCCACAGGGCTTACTTACAGGCTTCTGTCCCTCCTCGCTGTAGCTGTCTATGGACGGCACTCTTTCAAACAGCATGAACAAGTGGGCAGCAGACATCTTGGCCTGGGCATAGTCTGGAGTGAAGGAAGTGCTTTGTCCTAAAGCAATCGCTCCAAATACAATAGCTGAAAAAACCCTGCAAAGGGGAAATACACATTGACATTGGTGTGGCAAAGGCAAAAAGAGACTTTATGGCAGATTGTGGGCTTCAGATAAATACTCATTAATAAGGCTGAGGTAGGGTAAGAAGTGTCTACTGCAAACTGTGCCTTTTCCTTACTGGGAAAATCTATAATTTGTTTGTGGGGAGGAGAGCAGCACTCTAAGCTTCCATCCCTTGCCTACTTGTCTGGATTTACTAGAAACAGATGTGTTGATTTCTGTTTCTATTCTTAGTGCATGAAATGTGGTAGGATGTATAGTTTGAGGATGCAGCTCGGTTTCTTAATCTAAAAAACTGAAGGCCTTAGTTGTGGAGCAGTCTAGGGGTTATGGAGAAATTTACCATTCCACACATCCTTTGAATGGCGCAGTTCTCCAGGCTCTTCAAATGCTTGAGTTCAGTAGAAAAAGGTGAAAGACAAATGGGAGGTGAGAAAGAGGCATGAAATCTGGGATGAGCAAAGGGCAGCAGGAGAGAAGCTACAGGAAGAGAAGGGATTCACTTGAATGCATAGGAGATGGAAGGGTAATGAGAATGGGTTGCTGTAGTCAGGCTAAGAAGCAGCTTCAGCATCAGCAGCATGTTTTGCCAGCCAAGAGTGGGGCAAGTGCTGAAAGCAAGCATGGGATGTGCATGGGAGGTAGGGTGGCTATTGACAAATACGAACAGGGGTTTCAGCTGCAGGGAGAGAAGCAAAACTTGGTTAGGTGCTGGAGATACGAAGAGAAGAAAGAGAAGGTTGGAAAGGTGCCAGTCAATGGGAACAACTCACCAGAACCACTTGGAGAAGCCTTTTCACCTCTGGCTAGGCATTATCCAGATTAGGTTTTTGCCAGACCTTCCTCCTGCTCTCCACCTCTCTTGTCTCAGGGCTCATAAATTTCTCAACTCAGTGTCACTCATTACTTTCTCCACTTACCTTTTAATCTTGTACACTGATGCTCCCTACAGCTAAGCCATGTGACTCTGCTGTTAAAGAAACCTTGCTGGCCATGAAAACAAGGAATGGCTTTGCTTTCCCCATCTTCATGTTGCTTTGCTTTTACCCTGGGCAACCTGAACAGGGGAAATTGTATGTAGGCAGCTATTGCTGTATAATTGGATTTGTAATAGTGTAAGGGTGAAGAATGGAAGACAGAAGTATTTATTGGGGTGTTGTTTTTGTTTTTGTTATTTTTTCCAGTTTTATGCTCCATGTTTCATGATCTCTATAGGAAAACAAAACATATTCTCCCCCATGGACAAAAAGGAACCTAACAAAGAGATACTTACAGAAGCACATCTTTAAAGCGCATGTGTCGGTTTGTCACTAGATAGGCACCAAACCTAAAACAGCCAGCGTAAGTAAAGTACATAATAGCTTGTGTAAAGGCAAAAGTAAATCCGAAGATATGTGCCTTCTTTGCAGCATTCCTGTAACAGAAAAGATCACAATCATATTGTACATTAACTTGTAGCAATCAAGAGTGTGAAGTGTAACCTACAATTCAAAGGAATCACAAGTCCTTTAAATAACTTTTAAAGTAAAATGCTTTCCAGCTCTTTGTAAGATTCTAACCTAAGATGTCATCCATCCTGTATGCTTTAGTTTCGTCTCTGCCAAAATCGATGAGACTATTGGGATACAAAAAGAAATTACTCTAATGCTAAATATTTTGAGCATATACAATTTATATTGTCTTTATCTCATATGTTCATTAAAATTATTTTCAAAATTGTAGTACAATTGCAATTCAAAGTTTCAACTGACACATGAAGAAAATCATCAAGAACTTTAGAATTCCTGCAAAGCAGAAATTACTTCAGTAGAACAAATCTTTGTGCTTTATCTTACATTGAATCAAAACAAGTGATGACTCATGAAGTTTCACATGATCTCTAATAGTACTTTGATAAAATAGTGGGGTGAACAAATACAAAGCCACTCGGCAGGTCCACCCTTCTCATTCTTTCCTTGGAAAATCCCACCGATTTTTATAGGGATCTTACCTAAACATGCAGGTAAAAACTGACTTTTGGTTTGTTAAGTGATAGATACCCTCAGAAGAAAGGGCTTGTGATTGCAAGAATTACTAGAGGCTTCCATTTCCAGAATTATAGCAGCCAATAACAACATCATGGAGAATTTGGGAAAAAAACCTCCACAAATAAAATAATTTAGTCCATTACCTAAAATGTCAAAAATATTAGTTTGAAGAGAAACATAATCTATATTTTTTATGTCAAAGCTGAGTTCTGAAAGATTTTGTGATATGCTGACAGTGATAAATCTATAAATCCTTTACAATTTATCATTGTAAAAAGAAATGTTTCAATAAATTGTTTTAAAGAAGTATTCTTTTACCTGTATGATGTTTGCAGACTTTGTCCGTACATAAACTCAAATTTCCTTTCCTGAGTCAAAGTAACAACAGTTCTAATATTTTCTATGGCTTCTGAAGCAATCTGTATTGGAGAGCAGACATTATGAGCAGGAAAACAGTGTTATAGGGAAGTTTTTAAACATAATCAAATAAATAGAATAATTGCAACATTTTCCGATGTACTGCTGTTAAATATATCCAATTAGCATGGATTATAGCAGTGAAGTTGATTCACCATGTATTTTAGCATAGGCCAGCAATGAGATTTTCTTTTCCAGTGGATTTCTGTAACCTGTCACAAGGATGATGCCACCAGCTGTCATCACTGCAGGAACCCAGTCAGGATAAACTGAACAAGCCTACCTCATCTGCAAATGTACTTGGAACTGCAGGGTAAACATATGTCCACATTTTCAAAAACATCTAGTGGTTTTGAGCTCACCTATGAAGAAACAGTCTTTCCCAGGGTGCATTCTCATCATTTATGGAAAACTAGGAGTCTTTCAAAACTCTTAAAGAAGAAACTCAAAACCACTGGCCATTCCTAAAAACATAGAGACAGATTTTCCTGGCCCATATGGCAGCTTGGCATCTAATTCCCATTAACTTTATAACTTTGAAAGTCTTCCTGTTTTGCCACAGAATAAAAAAATAGTGTATATTTCCCAAAATGATTAATGATGCGAGGTCCCCAGTCTTCATTGAAAACTAGTGGAAACTCATGCCTTAATTTTCTTAATGCTCCTCAAATATTATGGGAGTTTACTTATAGTTAATTAATATCATCAGTAAATATTTTAATAACAACAGTTGTTTTAGCTTTGGTCAAGAATCTCCAGCAAATCAAAACTCAAAATGTGAAGTGTTTTGGAAAGAAATTTTGTAAAGTATAATCATGGGGCACTATACCCCTTCCACCTCATCATTAAGTTCCAATGAGCTCATTTTATGGGAAAAGAAAATTTAAAATTATCCACTGTCTAGAAAGCCACCTAGGACCTGGGATTCAATCTCAATTCCTTCTCACATATTGACAGCCATATAATTTTGGTACACTGTGGAATCCCACTACTTTTACAGAAACTCCTGTAGTGTCTGTACCACCCCAAATCCTGTGCTCATGGATTGTACCAGGAGCTGAGTCAGTGTATGGTGAATTCTGCTGCTCATAAGGAAGGCATGAAATAAATTTACTCTTTTAGCTATGTTGTTTCTGCACCACCTTTTAATGAGTGTAGTTTATTTTTAATCTCTCATGTGTGAAGATGGCATTTCTCCATAGGCAGTTTTCCAGGAAGAACCACTCTTTTAAAGAGAAGAGAGTTTTACCTAGAGCTAAAAATAGATGCTTGGGACTTGTTTTCTTTCATGTTTGATTGATATGTTGCGAGTGAAACGTTTTGCCGAATTACTATAGAAATGCATGTTTTAAATTTTCCCAGAAGCTGAGAATCTGAAAAAAATTGCTTTGATTAACATAGTATTCAAAAATCAGATATTCAGGTCATTGCCTAACAATCATGAACTATTCTAACAAATAGTCTCCAAGGAAGTTGGCATGAGATAATTATGATCAACTGTAAACAACTTGATTATGAGATAACTTTAAAATATTACAGTGCATAAGAAGGTCACTTGTTTGGCAAAACTTTATGAATAATTAGTGACAGTATTTTGAATTTTTTTCTTGATTACCCTATCATGTTAAGAAGAATGGGTTGTCTTTGTTCCAACAAATATATTATTTTAAAAATACACCTCTTTTAACTTCTTATTTTAATGCACAACAAAACCCCCCTAGGCTTGTGACTCATCAACCTTTACTGTAATTGTAGAAAACAGCTTGGAAGCAAAAATTATTCTCAGTCTTCAACTCAGTTAGGAAAAGGAAAAGCCTCAAAGCTCCAAAGACATGAGAGCTAACCCTCAAAACCCCATCTACACTCATGTGTTTGGCAGACCCTTCTTTCTACAATATTACTTCTACATAATAAGCAGAATAAATGGACAATCTACAAATATGAAAACAAGTAGACTAAGTAACCTAAGGGATAAGATACAGAAATAATTAAATAACATGGAAAATCTAACATAACTGCATGTAAATATTATCTGCTTCCCCTACAAAGACAAACATAATGCTTCCTTTATAGCTGTATTACTAATAAGAATGATTTTACAGACAGGTAAAGTGAAATCTTTCTCTGCACAGCCAATTTAAATTTGCTTTGAGAGAGAGAAGCTCTACAGTTGTCTAACTCTTTAATGAATTTGTGCTTCTTAGAAGCAAGATTGTTTTGGACTGTTTGTTTTCCTAACAGCCAGCCTGTTGGGTTTTCAGGTTTCACTTCTGGTCCTGGCATTACCCTCCCTTGCTGTTCCCAAACCACTGCTATCAGCCAAGGCTGTTACGTAGCCAGCCCAATCATTGTGTGATCTGGCAAGAGACACAGTAAATACTAATTTTAGCCAGAACATACAACAATTGCAACAGATACTTATTTCAAAAGAGCATTGTGAGACTTTATTTGTTAAATTCAAATTACATTGTGAGCCTCAGCTGAAAACTGTTATAGAATTAATGATAAATAAAAGGTTAAATTCCCTTCAATTCTTTTGAATATTTGGTATGTTTTTACCAGGAAAAAAAGTATTGTTAGAGAATATTCATTTATGTGTGTCAGGGACAACATTCTGGAGCTGTCTAGTGATTTGATGTTACAATGAGTCATTGCTATGCAGGTTTATACTAAAATGCCTGGCAAGCAAAACCAAGAGGAATTTACTTTCTTTTTACTTTTAGTGTGAAAAGGGCTAGGAGTAAACACCCAAACCCATTTTGTAATCAGCCTAGAGGCACAGAAATGCCTCTGAGAGGCTTTCCTAGTGTAGATTATGGAATGAGAGAATAAGATTTGCTGTGCTCAGACTGGGCTGCTTGAGGTATGTCAAAAATCCAGTCCCCACAAAGCACAGTCTCTTCCTCAGAGAGCACATCTTGGGAAGTGAGAAAATAGTTCTCCTGAAAGTTATGAAATGAAGTAACATCTTTTATCTTTGTTGCCACACTCTCATTTTCCTTTGAGGCAGATTCCCAGGCTCCTGCTTCCCTTCCCAGTTGAGAGGGAAGGAATTAAAATCAGACCAAGGCATTGCAGCTACCCTGTAACTGTGATGTTTTCATGCAGCAGACAGAAACTGATGGTTTGTATCCTGTGTGCCTTATTATACTAAGCCCACAGACAACTGCAAGGTGTGGGAAAGAGAAGATACATGACAGGTAGAAGAGAGGGGCTCTGAAGGGAAACAAGCCAGAAAAAAAATGAAGAAAAGGAAAAAAAGCAGAGTGCTGGGAAAGAATAGGGAAACTGAATGCAGACTTGGGACAGGCGTGAGGGACCTAAGACTTTTAAAATGCTTACTGTGCTCAGAATGCTGCAAATAATTTGAGACCACAAATGGATAACTCACATTTTCAGTTTTCAGTTTCATATTTGCTATATCACCATTTTGTCAGAACAACACAACAACACAGACTTTTAGTTCTTTGAGGAGTATATTCTTGACCCACCACCAATGTCCCTATTAAGCAACACTGTGTAGTATAACCTAAAACCAGATTAAAATGTCACTGAACCCACCTTTCCTGCAATTTCCAGTTCCTTCTTATGTTTTTTTGCATGCCCAGCAAGCATCTTCATTTGAATCATTCCTGTTATAGCAATAACTGGCACAATGGCTAAAAGCAGGAGAGTCAGCTGCCAGCCATAGATCAAAGACAGAACAATTCCAGTGCCGAGATTAGCTACATTTTGGGCAACTAGTGCCAGTCTGGAACCTGTAGCCTGGAAAAAAAATGAAACCACTGTAAATTAGTCTGTTTTATTTGTAAACTAGACAGGAAATATTTGTTACCTAGACAACTGAGATTTATTCACTGGAGGACAACTGAAAGTGTTCGATTTGGTCTAAATATTCTGCAGAACTGGATGCTTTATCTTTTGATAAACCATTCTTTTGTACAGATCATTCCCTCAAGTCTTCTGTATCTTATCTACTCTTCCTACTCTGTTTCCATCTGTTCACTCAGACTTACAGTTCTTGTTTGCAGGTTTTGCCAAATACAATGATATTTTATGAATGTCTTTTTATATATATGTATATATATGTATGTCGAACCATTACTTTAATCTTGCCAGGTCTCCTGAAACATGACATTTCCTAACTCAGAGTCTGATGTGACCATTTTTTCTCACTGACCACTTTTAACCTTAAGCATGTGAGCATGGTGCTGCAGTGAGAGCAATCCTCCTTTTGAGTCATACACTTCAGCATTTTGTTAAGAATTGTGACATTTATCAAGGAGACAAAGCTGTCTAGACATCTAAGCAGGCTGGAGAAATAATTTGAACTAAAGCCTCCTTGGATGACCCATTCATACTACTGATTACAAGACTGAACATTAGTATGAACGAAAAGCAAAGATATATATATATGTAAAATACATATCTGCTATTATATTATTCTTTTCTGTGCCACCAAAAAAATATTATTTTAAGAATACAATTATATTATTTAATAAATAATAACAGCTTCCAGATGACAGTGTGTGCAGGATTTTTACCTACCAAGTCCAGTCTGTAACTTACTCCATGCTAAACCCGATACAAAAAATGCCAGTGTTTGTTACTTACTCCTTTCACTTCTGAGGCATCATTAGCAAGTCTTGTTATTAATGCTCCAGTGCTATTTTTGGGATCATCAAACCAGCTGATCTCCTACAACATGAAATAGAGTTATTATAATCTTAGAAACTTTAGTCTGCATATCACCTGATCAGGTTATGCAAGAGAACTTAATCACTTCTGATTACAACAGGACAATCGACACGGTACAATGTTCTTCACATGTTACAATAAATACATCAGAACTAAAAGTTTAATAAAGATATGGGAACATAAATCTCAAGTCTAAATTGTGTTAGCAATCTGTATATCCCTTCTGCAATAGCACAAACATCATGATATTATTTCATATTAAATGTAGCTTTACAAGAAAATTTTGCTCGTGAATTTAACATGTTTTTAATGATCAGATGCTCACTAAACAGCAATACCAAGGAATCGGCCATTCAGGAGCCTGGATGTATCATATGCATCTGCAAAGACTACTAACTAAACAATATACTTTCTCCTGTTATAAAGTTAAAAATACATCTTCATTCTCTGTCAATTACAAGTATTGTGAAGTCTGCTATGAAGTGTTTCCAAAGTCTGAGTGTTGCTGCAAAATTTCTGTGGTGCCCAAAAAGACAAATGTAAAATGATATGCAGTGCTGGGAGATTACTCAAGACTGCCTCTTCTTCATCTGGAAAAAAATATCTTCAGGGAAAAACAAAACAACTAGTCAATCATATACTTTTGTATTTCACTACCGATTCAGATTAATTGGTCAGAAGGATCAGTGACTCTAAAGCACTTACTTGAAAATGAAAATATCTGAATTAAAGGCAAAACATTTGTCTTATTTAAACTCAGGAAGTAAAAATAAAATATTCGCTCTGTCTTTCCTCTGGATTTGCCAAGTAACAAAAACAAAAGATCATTGCCATGAAACAATCTAAGTATTTAATATTTGTTTATATTAGTTTCAACAGTACGGTGTTTTTGCATAATAGCTGTTTGTAGGGTTACTGTAAGAGCTCTTCTATTTCCTACTACTAGTGCATAAATGCATAATCTTTAGACATCAACAAACTTGCTTCATTTTGATTTCCCAGGGTGAGGCTAAGGCATTATTTTTGAGTGCAGTAAAGTACTGTATTCTTAAATACAGAAAGAAAAAATTACATAAAACGAACAGTTTCAACGTGGCTGTAGGCTCACATAGCCAGGTGGCTGCTTTGTCATGACATGATATGGAGAACACACCAGAAGTGTTGGTGCTAATACACAAAACCCTCTTGGGTCCCACTGCTGTAGTGCCTGATACTTGAATACAATGCCAGGTGGACACTATTTTCACACCAGAGTGAGAAAGGTTAATACAATTACATTAATTAACTCATCAGAAAATGAAAACCTCTCTTAGGCTCTTTCTAGCCCTTGCTCCAGGGATCTGATGAGATTCAGCATCAGTCAAAAAAGTCTAATGAGACTTATTTCCACAGTGGTAACCTATAATCCCTTCCCATATAAATCAAAAACAAGGGGCATATGGGCCCTCAGTGAAAGGGATTAATGAAAGGGGAAGCTGATGTGACTCAGGCTGGCTCTGGGAACTTCTTAAGGTGGGAACAACCCTCTGCAGAGACCATGAAAACCTCACTCTGCTGTATGGGCTGAAAAAGTGGAGGGGTTGTGTGTGTTTGGAAACCTCCTCTTTGGTCCCAGACTTGCCCATGTATCAGACTAGCATGGGTGGGATAGACCACTGTCTGTAGTGAATGAAAGGCAGGGGAGTAATGTGTCTGGTCTCATATTGCTCTGCTTTCTACTACCTCAGGGATCACATGCATGCCTACAGCTGTACCAGCTGGGAGTAAAATGTAGTAGAAACTCAGATAAGGATTGAATTTATGTGCTGGATTGATAAGATACTGAATGCCAATGTTTCCTTGAAATACTTGAAGAACTAAAAAAAAAATACTCCATAGGAAATCAACTGGTAAAGGTAGACATGGCAGCAAAAGAGGGGTAAAAATACCTGAGTTAGTTCTAGCTGTGCTGAAGGATGAACTGGAAATGCTGGCAGGCCTGCAGGGCAGGTACCAGTGCTGGCTGTGACTCCCAGGGAGGGCTTACCAGTTTGCACTGGTACATTACACACTACAGAGGAGTAGGGGTGCTGAGCATCTTGCCACCGCACCAGCTCCAGAAAGCAGCTAGTGCCAACCATCAAATAACTGTGATAAAGCTTCACCTTGGGGGTGATCACTGCTGCCTGGTGGAAAAGAACCTGGGGGGTGTTGGTGGATAGCAGACTGAACATGAGCCAGCAGTGTGCCTAGGTGGCCAAGAAGGCCAATGGAATCCTGGTCTGTATCAGAAATGGTGTGACCAGCAGGAGTAGGGAGGTGTACTCAGCACTCATGAGACCACACCTTTGAGTACTGTGTCCAATTTTGGGCACCACAGTTGTAAGAAGGACACTGAGGTGCTGGAGCAGGTCCAGAGAATGGCAACAAGGCTGGTGAGGAGGCTGGAAAAAATGCCTTATGAGGACCAGCTGAGGGAACTGGGGTTGTTTAGTCTAGAGAAGAGGAGATTGAGAGGTGACCATATTGCTCTCTACAACTAGCTAAAAGAAGGTTGCAGTGAGGCTGCTGTTGGTCTCTTCTCCCAAATTACTGGTGATAGGACAGGAGGAAATGGCCTCAAGTTGCAGCAGAGAAGGGTTCAACTGGATATTAGGAAGAATTTCTTCACAGAGAGAGTAGTTAGGCACTGGAACAGGCTGCCCAGGGAGGTGGTGGAGTCATCATCCCTGGAGGTGTTCAAAAAACACGTAGATGCAGCACTTGAGGCCACGGTCTAATGGTTAGGGAGATGTTGGTAGGAAGGTTGGCCTTGATGACCCTAAAGGTCGTTTCCAACCCTGGTGATTCTATGATTCTAAGCTGGTTATGGATGCAGTTAGGATACTTGCCATCCTCCTCACTGATCAGCAACTACAGGCTACTGTGCTTGGATTTCAGCCTGATTATTTTAAAAAGTTTTCACCCTGCTGCTGAGTGTAATTCTACAGACAGCAGAGCCCTGTCCCTACCCCTGACCCAGACTGGCAGACTGTGGCTGTCTTTGGTTCTGTACCTGCTACACAGGAGCAGCCATCAGGTTAGTGAGTGCAACTAGTCAGATATCCAGGTCCTATAACCTTCACTAGGAATTATTTGTGGATTCTCAGCTGTGCATGTGGTTAGCTGAACATGAAGGCTGTTCCGAATATCAGACTTAGTTTCTTACAGTACAGATAGCTTTCTCTGGACCTCAGTCCAAAAGCGCTTTGATTTTAAGCTAAACAAACACCACCATTACTTTTGAGGTTTCTTACAGTTGAACTGTAGTTATGTATAAAAAAGAGTTTTTTAAAACCATTTAAATTATCTTCCTGACCCTGTTATGAAGATTTAGTCCTGTCCATTTCTAAATTGAGCTAAGGAAATCTGTGTGATATCTTTATGGATATGATTGCAGAATGATTAGTTAAATAAACACAGACAATTTATGACATATAAACAAACAAGGATTTCTAAAGCACCATAAAGCTAAATTCATAATGCTTTTACCTGTCTCAAAATTGCTCTAAATGCCATGGATCGAAGTCTCATTGTAAGGATTTCTCCAGCTTTGCCAAATGTGAAACCCTGGTTGAGGAAAAATTTTTTACTGTATAATCACAGTTTTTGTCTTTTTTTCAGATAAATAGTTAAGTGACTATCTGCATATAATATTAAAAAGAATATTATGTAGTAAAAAATATTGTAGCTGTAACTGAGGTAATCTAAGTTTTTAAAAGCTAAATTTAGCATTTATAAGGGGAGAGCAGAGAACGAGTCTCATTGTTTTTTTTTTAAGAAAAGAGTGTGTACAGTGTAATAGTGTTCAGGCCCCACCAAAGAAATGTTTTAATTGAAGAATTTTATTTTTTTTTATCACACCAGAAGTGGAAACTGGTCACTTCAAATTAAGAAGCTGGGTGTTATTACAAGTAAGGCCCTGTACTCACTTTGGGCACAGGGATTTCTCTCTAAGCGCTTACAACAAAAAAAACCCCTGTAGTGCTACTAGTCATTTTCTAGAGGAAGCCTCTGAATCTGCACAGACATTTCCTGACTACATCAGAATTCATGGTGCACAAAAACCTGCTGGTGAAACTGACACTTCCAGGCCAGTGCCATGCAAGATCAGCCTACACAGGAATGAGACAGGGGAGACAGGCAGACACAGCTGAGTGCAGAAATATCCATAACAGCTATACCATCGATCCATTTTCTCTTCCAAGGGCAGGAAAGAAGTAGCAATTTTGAGGGCAGTACTGTCTGAAGAGAGGGCAATGGCTGGATGTAATTTCAGAAACGGCACCTTGTTGTCTCAGGGGAATCCAGTAGGAGGTAGCAAGGTGGTGTTCAGAAGACTATAGATGATTTGGCGAGGTCAACACAACTAGCTGAGCAATAACTAAAGGGATTTGTGCATGTAAATGAAATCCCCATCAAGTCATATAACAACTGAACTGGTTTATACATAAACTTGACAGTTTTCCTGCAACAGATGTAATTTGGTGCAGTGCCAAATACATGTGCTGATGTGACCAATTACGAGTTGAAGTGCTGAGGTTAAACCCCCAGCCCTGATTCAGGGTTGGCATATGGATGATGGCCACAACCAGGCAAGAAAGACCCTCCTGACTGATTGGTTTTCACCCAGGGTCTGGTCAGCCTTGGGTGGGAACTGATGAGGAGATCACCACCAGGTGCCCCTGCCTTCCACATTGACTTGGTGGTGGGGCAAGAAACCATCTCTATAAGAACTGACTCTGCCTGCAGTGGTGTTGGGAGGTTTGATTATATAGTGCATGTGTTGTGTGGGGATTATGGCTATTGGAAGGGCTTCCTGACTCTTCATGTAAAGTGGAGTTCTCAAGATGACAGGGCCAGAACACGAAGCTGTCTCTGATTCCCTACTCTATAACTGGGCTCATGGCCTGGTTGCTGCCATCTCCCATGGCTTGGCTCCTTGGCTGGCTTGCTCCCTTCTTCATGTCCACTGTGGTGGTTGAGTGCATTGACTTGTTCTTCCCTCTGTTTTTTCTGGCACTTTAGATCTCTGGTGTGTGATGTGGGAGTGGAGGGAGAAGTTTGGCTGCTGGTCTGCATGTAAATGATAATATCATTCTATATTGGGCAAGTGGTCAGCGGAAGAAGTACATGTGAATTTAGACTCTCAGAAAATGTGGTCAAAACTATTTGATCCTATGCAAGCAGAAGGATGTAAGGAGCAATTTGACTGAAGAGGTGGTTTGAAATATTCTTTAACTTTTGTGGTATAGAGCTGTGAATAATCTTAAACTAAGCATATGATGTGGTCTTCCTCAGTTACTTTTGGTATGTTTTCTCAGCAGTCCAAGGAGTTGAGTTCATGTGGGTACATATGGAGTAGTTTCAGTGCAACCAGATCAGATACTGGTAGGAGTGTTGCCCAGAGCTCAGAGCAGGTCTTGAGGCAATCATTTAATCAAGACAGAAGATTTCAACCCTGATCTAAATCTGTGCCAATAATGTTACTATTGGTATTGTCAATACTGGATTTTCCCACACAGACTGTGATGTAGTGTGGCCCTTACACCCAAAATTTCCTTTGCTGCGGAGAAGTGGGTCAGCTTATAGCAGAGAGAACATTTGAAACCTCTTACTACATTTTGAACCTATCTGATAGTGGAAGTTCATAATAATTTTTCTTGTGTACAGCTTAACACTAAAGCACTGGGAACTTAGTATAGTTGAGATGTAGTGTCTTAAATACCATGAACAATTGCAGTAACAAAAGCTTACCTGAAGAAAAAAAGTGACAAAAGAAATTAGTCCAAACCCTAAGAACAGCAGTGCATATGTACTACTTGTCTCCCTGATGGCAACCTCTCCTTTCTCTACAAACATCTAGAAAAGAAAATTTTGAAAATAAATTTACTTAGGTTGTAGTGCAATAATTTCCCCTGTTATTATTACATATAGGATGTACTACATGCACTTAAAATGATAACATGCAGTTTTCTTGTTCAACTAAGATTTTTTTGCTTTGAAGATTATAGATCCTAAGTAATTTTACATGTCTTGTGGATGAAGGTTTCATTGGTATTTTGGCAAGGTAAAATCAATAACACACCAGTGAGCAAACTACATCAGTAAATTATAGCAATTTACACTTGCAAAATATTGAGGCATGTCTTAAGTCTCTAGAATAGCATTTCTGGAGTCACTGGGTGAAGATTATTGCGTGGTAAACAATGACTAGTTAGTGAGAGAAATAGTGAAATTGTTCTTAATATTATGTGTTGTATTTTTCAGACCCATTATTGTTTTTAGACTAAAGCTCAGTGACAAACAGACTTCTATTGTTTGTCTTCTGTATGTTAACAACAACAACAAAAAAATCTACATTGTATGGAGAATTTTCTTTGTTATGGAAATAATTTTCCATTTAAAACTTCCATACAGTTATTTATCTCAAAAGTGGATGAATTAATACTAAAGATATAGTATCTTCAAACCATCATCATACTTTCACATATGTTTAAAAAAAAAAAATAAAAAAATCACAGTTCTTGAAGCAAGGAGATCATATAGTTTTGCTTTCACCAAGCTTGTAGAGCAATAAAGATAATGCTAATAAATTTGGATTAACACAAATATGTTTTATAAGGTTTGAGGTTTTCAGGGTCTCTCTTTTAAACAAGTCTTTGAGGATGTTGTATATTGTTTGTTGTTGCATTGTGTTTGTGTATCTTGGATGTTGAGTAACTGCCATTATGTGGGCTTAATTTTTTAAATGAAATTTAATTTGCCTTAGTAAAAATTTATCTGCTCTTTGTTCAGAGTGACCCCAGTTTATCTTGTTACCCCTTGTTTACCTTGTTACCCCAGTACAACCTTGGTCTATAGCAATAAGATTTACAATGCAATTATTTAAATTTTCTAATACAGATTTGTTATAAATCCTATCACACTTGAAAATATTTTTAAAATATTTTAGAGTAAATTAATGTTCTGCAAATGAAAGATTTTTTTTTTTTTCCCCCCAATATGTCTCCTGCCCTTTGTCAGATTATTTTCCATGTTGGACTGATTTGAGAACAACTGCTGAAAGATATATGGCATGCTCCTCTTCTCTCAGGGATGTTTCTTGTTACTCTTTGCATTAAAAGCTGAATTATAACACCAGCATATCACTCTTTTCCCAAACAGTTATTTGGAAGGCAACACCCCATGTATGAGTACAAAAATTTTCGGATATGTTATTTCAGTATCTTGCATGCTATATACTACAGTTTAAATGGCTGTAAAATTGCTCCACTAAATGCAGATGTTGCTGTGTTTTCATGTTTTCCTTTTTCTTGCTTTGTGGTAAAATTGAAAAACATGAGAAAACAAGACTGAGAGCTTTATCTCAAAAGAGGCAAAACACCAACCTCAGTTCCAGTTTCCAGGGCTGTATTTGTTTCTAAATTGATTCAGATTTCTGTAGCAGACAGATAAGATAATCTTTGCCTTCCACAACTCCTCAAAATTATAGGGCCATGTATTCTTTCTTGGTATGGCATGAGTGCCATGTGGCACAGGGGTCAACAAGTGCACATCAACACCTATACTTGCACTCTCACACTCAGTTTGTCTCTCTCCTGCACTGTGTCAATATTAGTAACTTTCCCTAAACCTAGTGTGTTCTGACAGAAAATGTTACAAAACTCCCACCAGCACAGTGTTGCTTGCCTGAGTATATAACTTCATTTTCTAACACCATAAATTTGAGTTTACAGAAAGTCTTTCTACAAAGAGATGTGTACTCAGAAGTGTCATCTCACATCCCTTTCACCTTGTTGCGTTGCTTTGTGTTGCTTCTCGTGTTCTGAAAGTCTATGGCTGAGCACATGGCCAGACAGACAGCACTCAGGGATCACCTGTCAGGCCCACACTGCTCATACTGGCTTACTGCCTTCTCTAAAGGGATAAGGATGAAGCACATTGAGAGAGGTCCCAGGAGAACCTCTCCTTATTCAGTGATGGCGAGATGATCTGCTTGTGGATGTGCAACTTGCATCACTGTTCTGTGACACATTAAGTAGACATTTTGTATTGTCCATAGTAAAGACCTTTGCCTGTTCCTCACCTTTGCAGTGCCCATTTTAAAAAAGTATAGTTTTGTTTATCACACAGGTAATTAGGAAATAATGACAAAAGATAAAGCATATAATGAAGAATTTTAGTTTTTATACTCACCCCTATAACGTCTGAAATGATGACTGAAAATATGGGTTGCAAAGCCCCATTGATAATTGCACATAAAGTTCCAACAACATAGTACGGCCATTCAGTTTTGTTCAGTTTCATAATTTTAAAAAATGAAACTGGAGGTATGTTTTTATCCTAAAATTAAAGGATAGATATGATACATTATTGGAGGGAAACAAGGGAGGTGTATATTCTTTGTAATATGGTCCTTACTCCATGTTGGGAAACCCCAAACTAACCAATCTTTAAAAATCATGTTAATTAACTGCAGAAATTCTTACAGTTACTGATTATCCAATATTAATAACATAAAAGAAGAAAGAAAAAACCCTATGAATACTGTATAGGGTCTCATTCCTCCCAACAATGGTTTGAGCCTTTCCCTGAAAGGATCAGTTACAAATCTCCATTACCACCCTTTGTGGGATTATCCAGAAACAGAAATTGCAAATCTAAACCACTTTTGGCATTTGATGGTACTGAACGTTAAAAGCATTGCTCCTTGCTTGTTGCTGAATGTGCTCTTTTGCATGTTTAGGTCATTAGCCAGCTTGATAGTTGTATTTTAATGTTTGGTAATTTATTTACTGACACTGACTTTTTAGACTTTCGCTTTTTAGATAGCAAATCACTTGAACAGGAAATAATTACTATTTTTGTCTAAGGTGTGTTATTTGAGTTATGTGACTAAATACCTGATTTTACTTTTGTTTTATAATTAATTTGCTACTTAGGCTATTCCCATAGTCAAGTATTTTTTTTTTCATATTACTCAAACTATTTCAAGTGTTTCAACAACAACAACAAAAAATAACATCAGGGCAAAAGACTGTTTCCATAGAAATTATATGTGACTTTGTCAATTTATGAGTCTTTAACCTTTGCACATTCTATTAAAAATTTATGCTCTCCTGAATGGAATCATATTTCTTTCTTATCCCATTAGTTATGGAGAACATGTGCAGGTAGGAACACAGACACTCACCAGCTGAACAGCTGTTTCTTCAGGATCATCATTCTGTATTCTGAACCTTTTTATGCTCTTCCG